CATTAAACAGATGAACTTATCGCAACAACCGAAGAAGGAACTAATCATCAACGAAATACTTGTTATGCGAGAGAATAAGCATCCGAATGTCGTAAATTATTTGGACAGTTATTTGGTGTCCGAGGAATTGTGGGTGGTGATGGAATATCTGCCAGGCGGTTCGCTCACCGATGTCGTCACGGAAACGTGCATGGATGAGGGTCAGATAGCGGCGGTTTGTCGCGAGGTGTTGCAGGCCTTGGAGTTCCTACACTCCAATCAGGTGATACATCGTGACATCAAGAGTGATAACATACTGTTGGGCCTGGACGGCTCAGTGAAGCTGACGGATTTCGGTTTCTGTGCGCAAATCTCGCCAGAACAGTCGAAACGCACAACAATGGTGGGCACACCGTACTGGATGGCACCGGAAGTGGTGACGCGCAAACAATACGGACCCAAGGTGAGTGTTAATATACCGAGAAACACAGTTAACATATAATAAAAAGTATGTACTAAAAGTTGAAAATTCGTAAACAATTTCTTTCGGCACAGCCTATATACATTGCATACTTTTAGGTGTGCGTGTTATTTACCCAAATTATTAATTATTATTATTAAATAATTGTCAACTTGCATATTTTACGTAAAAAAATGTAACTGTTTATTTTCAAAACTAAATTGAATTTGAATTTGCAGGTCGACTTGTGGTCACTCGGTATTATGGCTATTGAGATGGTCGAGGGTGAGCCGCCCTATCTGAATGAGAATCCATTAAAAGCCCTGTACCTCATTGCCACAAATGGCAAGCCAGAAATCAAGGAGAAGGAGAAACTATCGACAGTATTTCAAGATTTTCTAGATCAGTGTTTGGAGGTCGATGTCGAACGACGTGCAAGTGCACACGATTTGTTGAAGGTAATTGCTTAAAAAATTTCCATATATTTTTTCGTTCAAAATTAAATGTTTTCTTTCTTATATCCACGCAGCATCCTTTCCTGAAATTAGCACGTCCATTGGCTAGCCTAACGCCTCTTATTATGGCCGCCAAAGAAGCCGCTAAAGGAAACTGATTAAAGAAGAAGCATTAATTTAATTTACATAAAAGTGATGAAATTAGAACTTAAAACACTTGAATGAAAACAACAAAAAGTATATATACATATATATATTTATATATACATACATACATATAAACAATAACAATTAAACTAGGAACGAAAATTATGTAATACATAACACCACGACACGAAGGCAACACGAACAGATCAAACAGTTACACTTGCATAGCGGCAGTTTAGGCACACATATTAAATTGATATATACATATATTGATCATATACTTACGTTTAATGAGAGCCGTGCACGCAGCCGTTTTATTATAGCTATATAACATATATAGCTTAAAACTATAAATTGCGCGTGAGTTTCGCAAATGAGCCAATGTGTTGAACAGCACACAGAAATCGGCATGTGGTAACGATTGAAAGGATTACAGTACATAAATATACGAAATTGTAATTAATTTTCGTTTGGCATATTGCTATATAATGTATTAAAAATAAATGTTACGGTAATTATTTATAAATTTGGCGCGGCACAAGTGTTGCAGTCATATTATTTTGAAAATTTTTATTGCAAAAAAGGATTGACTGTTTCGTTGAAAACTAAAATATACATATTAAAAATTCATATAATGCATTACTCGCACACATTTCCTTGCATTACGCGGGGGGTTTCAAATGTATTTTAAATTCATTGAAAGAGATTAAGTTTTATTTTTGTAGGTTTAACATTTTATATCAGCCTGATAGGCATTTTAAATGTCTCTTTGCGTAATATTTTCTTTCATTTCATTTGATTTTTATTTAAATTAATTATTGTTATTAGTACTTTAACGTGAGAACGATTACATACATACATTTAACAGAGAAACTGAGACAATTTTTGTAAGACTATGTCATTCTAATTACATACAATTTAATTATGATTAGCATTTTATACATAATTATAAATTATAATTAACGAAAGTTAAGTAAAGTAAACAAACAAACAAGCAGAAGTAACACTTTAAAACGCTCTACTACTTACTGACACCTTTATTTATATAATATATATTTGTAATTATAGAAAACTTAAAAACAAATTTGGTTTATTTTGTTTGCTGAAAAATGACAGATTTGACTACTGTTATACGTTTACGTCCACAAACCATGGAAGTGAAGATTTCTAATGTACATAGTTATGTTTATCACAAAATCAAAAATCCGAACACATTTGTTGGTGCGTTCACAGCTCGGGCTGCTGAAATTATCTGGTAATGAGTTTGGTTGACACTATTTGTTTTTTATATAAGTAACATATGTTGGCACTTACAGCTTGATAGTTGCCTAAACACGCTTCTCATTTCGTGGTTGTTCTGTTAATCGTCTAGTTTTTAACAGCGACTGCCTTCGGCTATTAAACTATAAAGGGGCGTTGCTTTTAAAGCATATCTTTATGGATTTATAAGCGCAGAACACTCATCTCCTGAACAGAGTGTAATAAGTTTGAAACGAAGCTTGTAACACCTAGAAGAAAACGTCGTAGAACCTATAAAAAATATATATAAACGATCGATGACGTTGATTTAGACACGTTCGTCTGTCTGTACGTTTGTATATACGCGAACTAGTTGCTCAGTTTCAATCGATATAAAATTGTGCACATGTCTTTACCTCCCCAAGAAGCCCTTATAGCCCATAGCTGTCATACAAACTGAACGATAAAATACATGTATGACCTTGTATGAAAAAGTTGTTCATTTAACGAAATATTTTCACGAAATTTGGTACAGATTTTTTTCAAGACAATGCTACAATAACCGAACAAGTTTTTTAAATCGGGACACTATAGCTTATAGCTGTCGTACAAACTGAACGATCAAAATCAAGTTTTTGTATGAAAAACTTTTTTTTATTTGAGAAAAGCAAAGCAATTCTACAAACTCAACAGAAATTGTTCAGATCGGACCACTATAACATATGTATATGTATGTAGCTGCATATCAAATTCTCGTATGGAAACTTTTTTATTTGTGAAGGGTATTTTGGCTAACGTTTTTTCTGTTTTTAGTTTTAAACTAAAAAAACCAACGTTCGACTGCTGAAAACACCGAATTCGAGTCGAATATACCCAGAATTAATTATTCCATATAAAATAAAATTGTTTTAGTTAATTGGCTTAGTAAAGTTTTAATTTTTTTTTTTTTTTTGGATTGTTTCGTTGCATTTTAATTTCTCGTCTGACATAACTTTAAGTTGTAAACACACTATGGTTTGTATATGTATTTCCGTTTCTACTATGACAGCATTTTGAGTTTTTTTATTTACCACAAGCAATAAGTGAGCACACATAATAAATACTTTATTTGTATTTGCAAAAATACAAGGTTACTACATTAAAGATACAAACATACAGACAAGCATAAACATCGGTAGAACACTATATAACCGAAATAACAATGTAAAAGAACACCAACAATAATAAGAACAAACACAATAGCGTCTAGTGATTACCAAGTAATAATTAATTTCGTAGATCGAACTAGCTTAAAAGAAAAATAAAATAAATCAGTAGTAATCAAATACACAAACATATGTACATACATATGTAACTAAGAAACCAAACCCAAATATGTATGTTTGCATATTTGTATTTAATAATAGTAGCACTTAGAACCTAAACGAATTTAGGACTTGTATGTATAAATAGTATTTTTCCAATTTGCAAGTGAGCCAGTTGGCGCGACTTGAATGTTATAGGTATGTATGTGTGTTTGTAGCCAGAACAGGAAGAAAGTATAATTACAAACAAATACTGCTAATTAAATCAATAAAAAAAACTATGCAAATAATAAAGTTGGAGCAAAGTTATAAAATAAATGAGCGGTGATCGGTTGAAGAATGTTGGCGAGCAAATAAAATAATAATAACGGAAATCATACTTTGTGCCTAACTGTAAATTACTAAAAATAAAAACAACAAAAAAGAAATAAAAAAATATTACTTAAAAAAGTGTATGCAGTAAAAAATTTAATAAAATTACGGAAAAAAAATATACTCGACACTATGCTATATACTAATAAACCACAACAAACAAGCAATAGAATACTATAAATAATTACAAAACAATGTTTTTGTTGTAATCCCTATATGGAAAATTTAACTTCAATTTCGTTAAAATATTTGGAAAAAAGTATTTCAATTCCAGATTGAAACGATTCATTAGCAGAGATGGCAATATTTTCAAATGAATTTAGACAGTGAATTCTATGTATGTATCATGTAATGTTTGTAACAAAAGGTCTGTAAAACTGTTTATTGAAATATTTTTTATGATACGAATCAATTGGCTTCCGGCAGACGAGGGCAAGTAGTCATGAATATGTATGTATATGATTTATCGTTTCATTTCTTAATAGAGTTCCTAGTTCTCGCCATAAACATTATTTTGAAAAAGTTTATATAACTTCAATTGGAGAAAACCAAACAAAATACAAATATTCTCTGTTTCAAATTTGCATGCAGAGACGAAAGCATATTTGTTAACATAAATACGAGCGTAGCTATAATAAAAATGATATAAAAGGCACACTACAATAGAACTTTAGTCAAATAAAAATCGAAAACGATTTCGCGTATAAATATTTCATATTTAGTTCGTTTATGTTCTGAAAATATTTACTATTTTCTGTATTTATTTTAGTTTCTACAAGTGATTTTAATTTGAGCATTTGGCGTTAGTTTACACATACATACTTTATTAACTACTTTGTGTGAAGATATGGTGAACGCTACAAATTAATTATTGTACTCATAAACAAGATTTATAATGGTAAAACGAATCTATTAAGGAACAACTTCTAATATTTATGCTATTATTATATGATTATTATGACTATAATTATTATTATGAATGAAAAAAATATATATATTATGAAGTAAAACATTATGAACGGAAACAAGAAAAAACAACAAATAAACATTTAAAATAAAAGCATTGACTACTTTTATTGTCGGACAATCAAAAAATTTATTATGCGCGCATAGACGAGTCTTACACGATATTTTCGAGTCTTTACAAATTAGTTCAAGCACACGAACTTCACACAATGTCAACAATTGGACGCTTATGAATATTATTATTATTTAAATACAATAAAACACTTCCATTTAAAATTGAATGATTCAATTTTATTTAAAAAATATTGTAAACTTTAACTAAAATTTTTCAAAACGCATAACATTTCCTCATTCAATTAAACACAATTTTTATAAGCTTTCCACTACTGTTTGGAGAAACTGGTCTTCGTTTTGCGATTGAGGAACCGATACAAATAAAGTATACGCTTCTGTAGTTGTTTCCACTTTGTTGGTCGCGCAATCGGATACTTTGTTTTGCATAGCATTTTACGTTTACGCAGCAGCACTTGATATTCATTGCCGGAGACACCACGCAACCATGATGGTACTGAATATAATACTCGCGTGGGATGTAGACGATCCGAACCTAGTATATCGATATAATCATTTTGACCAAAAAGCGCACGCTTTTCAGTCCACGCATTTTTTGGGCGATAATCTGGCATTGGCAATTTCTGTCCATTATCCCAGTGAGGCAGCAGACCACGTTGATGTAGACGTTCCTTATAACCATAGCGGCGTATGAGTGGACCTTTGGCACGTTTCTCCTCGAAAGAAAGGTGACGCAAACCCACTGCACTGGTTGGTGTGTTGATAATAACTGCGGGAACATTAATCCATTTTTGGAGGAATGGCTGATTGGTTGTGCAGGTTAATGCCTTGCGGATATTATTTGTTATCCAGGACATTCTTATTGCTGGATATTTCTTTACTTGGGTTAGGTAATGAGAATGCGCCGAATTAATAAATGAAAAGTAACAACATAACAGCTGTTTTAACACTTGCGTGCGTTCAGTGTGCTATTGAAACACAAGGAGAGTCAAATGAAAAATTTAATTACTTATAAAAAATATAAAGTTTGTGCAAGTTGTTAATTTGATCGATCCATTTGTATGGCAGCTATATGCTATAGTGGCCTAATCTAAACAATTTGCTTGGAGATTGTATCGTTGTATTGGCTAATAGTTTATGCCAAATTTCGTGATCTTGTCAATTAAAAAAGTTTTCCTTACAAAGATTCGATTTGGTGGTAGCTATATGCTATAGTGGTCCTAGTTCACGGACGGACCGATGAACAGACGAACATGACTAAATCTACTCAGCTTGTCAGCTGATCATTTATGAGTCCTAGACGTTTTCTTTTGTGGGTTACAAATTGCAAGGCAAACTTAATATATCTTGCTCAGGGTATAAATATTTAAAAACTTGATTGTTTGTTTATAAAGAGCTAAACTAAAATAATAAAAAAAACACATTTGTTATTCCAATTTTTATGGGACACGCTTGTATGAAAATTAATTGTATTCGTGTTTATTTCACAATTTTATCACTGAAACTACAGGATTAATACATATATAAAGGATAAGTTAAACTGAATCGATTAGTTGATAAAAATTAGTTGCTAATTAATGCAATTTTTTTATTATGCATTCCGGTGACCATAACATCGCATAAAAATGTTATCTTGCCACAAGTTATTGGTGTTTTTTCTTAGAATGTGGGATGATAAATTACTTATTGCGTCTAGTTGATTCAGAAGCAGTTGGCGGCGGCGGCGGACCACGTTTATGCAACTCTTCTAAATAATTAACAATTATAGTGGTGCGCTCCTCTTCCATGTGGTTCAAGATTAGATAGCTGGAAATGCAACAACAATTTTTAATATGTGTAAGAAAATATTAACAATTGCAACAGTCATTGAATCGACATACCGTTTGTCGTTCTTCAGTATATCCTGTATTTCCTTCAAATGATTTGGGTTGTCTTTAACAACTTCGCTGCTCTTGTGTGTTATTAGCTTACACTCCTGTAAAAGCTCACGCAACGCAGTCTTGGCGGCGAGAGTTTTGTCTTTAATATAATCACGAAATTCGCGTTCACATTTATCGGAATTGTTATATTTCAGATAACGTGGATCATCTTTAATGGATTTCTTAATATCCTTCCAAGAACTGGTCAGCTCCAGCGCTGACAATTCATCGAGCATTTCACGGAACTTTTCACGTTTTCTCTTCATTAGTGTATCGATGTGTTCGTTGAAAAGTCTACAAATATGTTACATATTGTTAATATAACAAATTAAATATATATAGAAGTGAGTGCAATTAACTTACTTTTCACGATCATCTCGATCCAGTGACTCAATTAGTTCCCAGCGGCTATCCTTACGTAGTTGCCGTTTCACCTCCTTCCATGTCAGATCTGGATTGCGTACCAAGTCTGTTAGCAACGCATTGAAATGACCAATGGCTTCATCGCGTTTGTGGTGCTCTCGCTCCTTATCACGATCGCGCAAATGTCCGGCCAATGTGCGTTGAACCTCTTTTTCACGTTCGCGTATACTTTGCTCGGCACGCAATTGTTTTTCACGCTCCTTTTGTAGACGCTCCGCTTCATCATCCTCGCTATTGGTGTGACCCTCGTCGTCGTCATGATGCTCGCCCTCCTCATCCTTCATTGTCAATGGAAAATCGCGCCTATATTATTATTCATTTTATTTTTAAAATGTATAGCAATAAACTCACCGATTCATCGTGCTTCTTTTTCTGTTCGCCATTCTTCTCCTTATCTTTATCCTTCTCTCGCTCTCGCTCTCTATCCCTTTCTTTGTCTTTCTCACGCTCCTTATCCTTCTCACGCTCCCGGTCCTTCTCACGCTCTTTACCTTTGTCCTTGTCACTGCGTTCACGTTCGCGTTCTCGACTGCGGCTGCGGCTACGATCGCTGCGTCCACGTTTGCGGTCTGACTTACGTTCACGATCCCGTTCCCTTTCACGTTCACGCTCCCGTTCGCGCTCCTTCTCACGCTCACGCTCCCGCTCACGATCTTTTAGTTCACGCTGCTTACGCTTCTCTTCTTTCATGATACGCATATAGTCCTGAAAGTATTCTTCGCGATAAATAGAACTCTCCACAGCACGATAACGTGGATCGGCATCGAATTTCTTCTTGATGTCATGCCAACGTGTATGCCGGTCCATATCCGAACGTTCGCGCAACATTTCTATGAAATCTTTGCGTATCTAAAATTTGTTAGAGGTACGTAGTGTGTGTTTTGGGGATGTGCATTTGGGTGTGTGTAGCAAGTGCAGTCAAGGAAGATACAAAGAGAGAAAATAAATGTGGGGAATTAGACGATTTCAGATATTGGCTTTCGTTTTAGCTTACTCGATACGTTTAAACGCACATAACAGGGGCTTATAGATGACGCTTACTAACTAACTTAATCGTCTACAAGAATAACTTAAATAATAATTATACTTAATTATGCTGCAAGAGAACGTTTCAAGATTAGTATTATAATTAAGTGGCGTCGAATGCTGAAAGAGAAATTTATTGATGACTTAATTATGAGAATCCAACAGTGTAGAGCTGAAAATTTGAAAATTTATTTGCATAAATTAGAGAGGCAACGTGTATGAGCACTTCATTGACGGACGGACGGACAACAATTAAATGTACGTGTGTTATATAATAAGAATACATATAGATAATGTATTGAATGCTTTACTTTATGAACTTACAAGTAAAGCCCAACAGTAAAAATCAATATTTCACATTCGTTTGACATTTTCGAAATGCTGACATGTGTCACGTGCGTAAGTGCACGTGCCATAGATGATGATTTACTAGCAAACAACAAAAAAAAAAGACAATCTATTAAAAATATACATATGTAGATTCAAAGTATTCACCATTGTCGTGACGAATGTGAAATATCGAATTTTGAAATGCTTATTGCACTTGCGGCTGTAACAAAAATTCTAAATGTATGAAGTTTAGATTGAGTTTTTATTCATACTGTTTCTGTCTCTTCTCGCTCAATTTCCACTCCCGCTCTAGTTCAAGCTCTGCCACACTCAGAGACCAGAGACTGGAGACTCGAGCGCCAACATTAACTAAACTGCCAGCTGTTGGGAGTTTGGCATGTCTTGTCTTCTGTCTAATGCCGTAACGTCTTCTTTGTGTCCATTGTGTTATTTTCCATCCATCAATATACACCGTTTGTCTGTGCGCAGCCAAATAGCTTCAATATGTACATGTGACGTGCCGAAGTGTCGACGTTCCTGGTGGCAGAAGGGTAAATCACCAAGTTTTATCGTTGATATACAATAAATTGCGTTTGTTTGCTGATTGTTTAATGAAGTCAACGTTGATCTGATTTGTTTTTAGCATTTATTTACTTTTTTATTGTTTTAATGCTTTCATATTTGCATATAAATAACTCACCACGAGCTCGAGCTAGATAGACACAAACAATTTGGGGAAAACGTGCCGAGCAGGCGTGAAGGTACTAACGAACAGGCAAGTCACTGGGTTGATGGGTGGTAGTAGCAGGATGGACATGGCTGCATGGCATGGCGGATCAATGCAATTTGATGCGGTCGTTGGCAGCTCCATGACCATGAATCATCAATCAGTCACACGTTACGCTGCACAACATATTAATTTGCTGCGTTTTCCTTACGTTTATACTGCAGCCTAAAAACGGTATTTAGCAATTTTGCTTTTTTCTAGGTCAACCAACTTTTACGCGGCTAAGCAAAATTGTATTGGATTTAAACACACTTCAAGCGGCTCACCTATAATCACATGATTGGTTGCAATTAACTATGTTTTTTTTTTTTTGTTTTTTTGTGTTGTTGGTTGACAATTTGTTGTTCGTGCGCAGTTTAGCCGATATTTATAAGCGTTGAAGTAGTAGTGGTAGATTTGTTTTTGGTTTGATTTGTTTTGAGATTTCAAGATTAGAGTGAAGAAAATTTTTATAAAAAATAAAAAGTATAAACTTTGCTGTGAAGCATTAACAATATAATAAGTGTATATACAAATAGAGACGTATGAAAAATTTCAATTAATCATTAAAAATACGAATTACTAAATATTTAAATAAGAAATACGTTTGCTGCGGCCCAAAACCCAAATTAACTAAGCAAACAAACGCATTCTCAGCCCGCATGCATTTAAGGGAACACGCACATACCTGTTCCTTTTTTTGTATTTTCTCCTCTTTTTCTTGACGCCGCACATCTACAATATACTCGTTGAAGAGGCTCTCACGTTCGCGCACCTTTTCGATAGCTTTATAGCGGTCATCTTTGCCATAACGCTGACAGAAGTCACTGAATGACGACCTAAGCAATTTGTTCAAAGAAAAAAGTTTTAATTTTATAAATTATTATGGGAAATTTGATTTGCTACATACTTTCCATGCATCTTTGCATCTTCCATAAGCTTGCGAAAATCTTCGCGCTTTTGTCGCATCTTATTGCGCTTCTCCTTGCGTTCCTCTTCAGCACGATCTTTAACATACTTTTCAAATACCTGTTTGCGCTCCTTGGATGTTAGCAGCAAATAACGTGGATCAAAAACAATTTTGTGCAGCTCTTTCTCCCAAGTACTGAATGCTGATACCTAAGGATTTAGAATAGCAAACGTCAATACATCGCATCTCAAGTAACAGTCCTAATTTCCTTACATCTTTTTCCCGCAACATTTCCTTGAACTGTTTGACACGAGTCTCCAATGGCACTACAGCGCGCTCCTTAGCAGCGCGTACCTCGGCTTCTACAGCTGCTTCGTTGGCATCCGCCTTTCTGGTTTGCTTTGCGGCTGTTAATAAAATAATAATTTCAGTATATATTATATATATATATTATTTAATAAACTGCTTACATAATCGTGACTTCTTTGTTGGTACTTCTTCCACGCTGGATTCAGATTCAGTGCGTATTTTGATGACTTCATCATCTTCTTGCTCTTCTTCTTCCTCTTCCTCGGGAATGTCAACCTCTTTTTTCTTCTCTGTCTCAATCTTTTCGACCGGTTTTTCCACAGCGATATTGCCAGCTGCCTTCAACTGTTCCGGCGGATTGTTGACTGCTTTGTCTACGTCAGCACGGTCTATCAAATCGTCGGGTCTTTCCCAAACAGATGTGCGTGTGGAAGGATTGTAGAAAAAAACCCTCGCGTCACCTGTCCAAACGACACACCATGGTGTGCCAGCGATGGGTGTACTGGAAATAGGACGTGATTTATCTATTGGTTTTGCTGCCGTTGCTGTGACTTTCTTTTGTTGCTCTTCCTCTTTCTTTCGTTTTTCCTCTGCCACCTTCTTTGACTCTTTTTCCAATGCCGCAGCTTGTGCCGCTTTGGTTTGTTCGATGGGCTTAATATTAGCAGCAGCTGCAGCAGCGGCGGCGGCTGCGGCAGCAGCAGCATTATAAGCCATCGCTTGTTCATAACCGCCGGCTACCGGCGTCATGTGCATAAGGGCAGGATTGGGCATCATGTGTGGTGGCATGGTGGGTGCGACCTGCGGCGCCACTGCCTGTTGTGGTGTTGTGCCCGAATGAGCAGCCATGCGTGCCGCTTCCATGTCGCGTAAGGCTTGTGGTTTCTCCCAAACGCTTTCGCCACGACCGGCATGATAGTAGTAGGGACGTCCATCAGGTGCACGATGTTCGGACCATTCAGCAGCGCGTGCAATTACGGCAGGGTCAATTACTCCAGGCTTGATAATTAAATTCTTTGCTGGCTTGTCTTGCGCCGGCGGACCATGTGGAGGATGCATATGCTGATTCCAGGGCATACCCCAAGGCGCTGGTCCACCTGGAAAACCACCATAACCAGGTGGAGGCATACCAAAAGGAGGTTGCGAGAAATTTGGTGGATGCATACCAGGTGGAAAGAATGGAGGCGGCTGTTGGTGCATTGCGGGTGGAGGCTGTTGTGTCATTGGTGGCGCACCGCTGGGTACTACATTTGGCGGTGGTTGCGTTAAGGTCTGTTGTGTGGGCGGTGGTTGTGACATCATATTTGGTGGTGGATGTTGTGTCAAAGTATCTGGTGCTTTCATGGGTGGTGCCACAGACATGGGAGGTAACTCCTTTTGCGCGTCCATGATGCCACCTTGAGCGTGACCCACAGATTCTGGCCCTTTAGCATTTGCATCCGTATGCTGTGTGTTATTTTGTTGCGTTTGCTGCTGAGGTGGTTGCTGTTTTTTATTCATTTCCTCAATTTCCGCTTGAGTCATAACTTTAATATTTTGCCCTTCTGGTCTAGTCCATGTTGTTTCACGAGTCATAGCATGATAAAAATAAGATTTGCCATCATCTGTCTTTGTCTCCACCCACAGTTCGAGTGGTGGACCGTTTGTCATGTTTGGTGGGCCATTTTGATTTTGTCCTTGCCAATTTGGATCAAAATTTCCCGGTCCGCGTCCACCAAAATTGCCGCCACCACCTCGAGCACCACCGCGACCAAAAGGCATTATATGAATACCACCACGTCCACCACGAAAGGCTCCTGGTGGTCCACCGAATGGCGGCATACTAAAAGGCTTAGCAGCGGGAGGTCCTTGATTGTTTGGAGTCCTGAATATAATATAATAAAATTAAATTGGTTACCAGAGCAACGTAAAAACATTTAGCCTCATATGCCTGCTTGCTAATATATGCAGGTATGTGTATGGCAATTATAATAACAAGAATAACCGTTAACTTCGCACCATAGCAATAACAACCTTCACAAATATAAAAGCTTCTTTACAAGAGCTTGATTTTGATGGGTGAGTTTGTCTTGCAGATATATGCTATAGTAGTCCGATAGCGGCGCCTCGGACAAATGAACAGCATGGTGGATGCGAGGGCATGTGCAAAATTTCAGATCGATATCCCAAAAACTGAGAGACTAGTTTGCCTTTATACAGACACACGGACATGGCTAAATCGACTCAGTTCGTCAAACTGATCATTTTTATATATATTTTATTGGACGATTTTTTATAGGTGTTATAAATTTCGTGGCAAATTTAATAACCGACCGAAAGACTGGAAATGTAGAAAAGTTTTCTCCGCGAACAACTACTAATGAGGTAATTTTTTTCCTGTTGGCGCTGCAGCCGCTATTACCTTATTTTTTTCGAATTAACATAAAAGAACACTTCATAGAGACGTAAGTTATATACATATATTATTAACGGACAGAAATAGCAAATATGCTCACATAAGTTAACTTATAAATAAACATCTTTTTTTGTTACGTACCATTGAGATTCACCTTCGCTTGGTTCTGGCGTTGCTTGTCCCGTATTTCCATTTATATTGGGGGTTGCATTGTTTTCTTGAGGAGGCCCAGTCGCAACACCTTTATATGTTGTTTCACCATCTATTGAAGGTGAAGCCGCTTCGTCGCCAGATTGTACATTATTTTCAACGCTGCCTTCGACTTCAGCGTCCATAGTCACAAAAGTTGGATAGTAAATTCCTTTTTCTTAATTAGAATTAATTCAGAAAATATTTCTCTCAGACGATTAAGTATTCACACACTTTTCAAGAAAAAAGTAAAGATGTGTCTTTAAAATCGTTGGATATCGATATTATTAAAAAAGATTGTCGTTGAAGATTTGTTCTCACACAGGGTTGCAACTATGAATATTCAGGTAAGATATGTATACTATTTTTAAGGAGCATATATATGTCCAATAATTCAAATATTACTAACTGGATTGATTTTATATTATTTATAGAATACAACTTTTTGAAAATCATTCGTTCATTCTGCCAAGTTCATCTCTTTTTGTAATTTTTCGATTTCCATATAATTTCAATATATTAAGTACAGAGCTGCAAGCAAAGTGGTCTTTATCTGATGAATCCAAGTTTTCTCTTTTCACTTGTACAAGCACAAATAAAATTACCATTTTCCGAAAATGTTTAATAATGCAACATTGGCCAACTGTTTGACATGCATGCAACAATCAGCTGTGATATTAAAAAATACATTGATTCAAAGAATTGTATTTCCCCACAACAGCGTTGGCGTTTGCTAGTTTTAACGCTTTCAGTTATTTTCTTTGTGTAATATTTATGTAAAAAGTTTCTAAACCTTTTGCAAAGAATAATTTTATCTTTAAAAATGGAACAGGAAGGAGGATCAACTTATGTAAGCATTTTTCTACTATTTATTATATAAAAATTAATTCTCAATAACATCATTTAGTTACATCCGTTAACATTGGAGTCTCAACTATTCCTCAACTCTTTAGAGACTTATAGTCAAAAGTACAATCAAATTGACACTAACTTATGTGATATGTTGAACAATATTGTGCTCGGTATACAAAAGTTTTTGGATCAAAATCCCAACCCCATTGTGGCTACGGATAAAACTAAGTTTGTGGAACGCAAAGATCTAGCAGCAATACAAAGTATTTATCATTGCAACATTTGCAAAATGGATTTGGGCAAAGCGGCTGACAAAGCTGCACTACATTTAGTGGCGAGGCATGAAATTAAAACCAATCCTATCAACAAAGAGAAGAAAAATGCTCAAAAGAAAGCGTCCGAAACTAAGCAGAACAAATTACCGAGGAGTATGTACAAATGTACCTTAGGGTGTCCCCTATTTTTCAAATTGATTGAGCTTTTGCAAACGCCTCTTAAGTTTAAGTTTATGCCCTAAAAACAACGGTCCAACGTAAACAAGCTCTTTATTCTCTTTTTAAACCGTGACTAAGTCATATTTCTTTTCCCATGTATATAACATGGGATTTTTTGACAACTTTAAAAAAATGATATTCTAATTAAAAATTTTACACTTTACTAAAAAGAAGAAAGGTACTAAGCATTCATACGTGTGATTAATACATTCTGTGTTACTCATACGACATGGTAGTAGTATGAATGTTCATATGAAAATAATTAATACCTTTTTGTAAAGCGAATATCGTTCTTTTAAAGTTTTAAGTTTATTTGTTTTGAAGATAAACGATTTATTGTAAAAGATGAAAAAATCGCATGTAAAATGTAAGGAAAAAGTGAAAAAGTTTTGATAAAAAATAAAGAGCTTTATAGGAAAAAATTTAAACTTAAGGGGCGTTGCAAAAAAAAAACCACTTGGCGGATGTAACCGACACCTTAATGTACATATGCAAAACAAATACGTATTCTGATTACCAGTTGATTGAATTGTGTATTAATAATATTTTCTTTGTTTGTATTTTGCGCTTGCAATGTAGAAGGTAGAGCATTGGTTATGGGAGATTTAGCGAAATTTTTTGCTGATCAATTGCAAGTTGCAGAAAAAATTAAACAAATTCCCGAATATGAAGTCATTGAAAATGCATTGCTAACAGCGATAAAAAAGGCTGTTCCCACCAAGAGTATCAAATTATATAAATTTGGTTCGCGTATGACTGGTATTGGAGCGCGCCATTCGGATTTGGATATCTACGTTGACATTGGTAAGAACGATATCTTACTATATTACATCTTGTGTGGGTATCTAACTTATATACAATAATATGATATTCAAAATTAGGTGGACAATTTAATGTTTTCGAGCAAACTGCCAGCGATGAAACGCTGAATGTCTACGATAGCATTTATAATGTCATTAAGAAAAGTTCTATCGATTGGGATCAGATTCGAGCAATTCGGGCCGCACGTGTACCCATAATACGTATGACTAATAGAAAGACTAATATTGAATGTGATGTCGGATTTTCAAACAGTCTTAGCTATTGCAACACGCAACTGCTGGAGTATATTTTCCAACAACAGCCATTAGGTTTGTGAAATGAACACTTTATATAAAAATATGCAGCATGTAATTATATTTATATTTATCTCTCTTTTTATTTAGCACGTCGACTTTGCATTTTTATGAAAAAATGGTTGGAGCGCACGCGTTTGAACGAACATGTCACCACATATTGCATGTCCTTGATGGTAATTTATTATCTACAAGTCAAAAACTCCTTGCCCTCAATCGAGACGCTGCAGAAGAATATGTTGGCCAATGTTTTGGTTGGACGTAAGCAAATTTTTTTTCATATGTAGTTCAGGGTTGCAAATAATGCATTAAAAAATAATTTAATTAATTTCATTTTTTTTGTAGTAAGCAAAAATTAATCTCAAAAACCGGATTGAAAAAAAACATATTCCATCACATTGTCTAAATTAAAAATTTATTCCCAAAAATTGGATTAAAAATGAAAAATGGTACAAAAATTGAAAACGTAATTTTAATCCAAGATGTTGGAATTAAAAATTGAAAATCTAATTTTTGATCAAAAATGTTTAAATTAAAAAAATGCAACCCTGAAGTAGTTTTAAAGCATCTTTAGTATATATAATTTTAATTTATTGTATTAAATTACTGTAAACTTTTGATATTACAGCGTGGATCGCCAATTTTAATAACATACCGTTGAATGCATTAAATATGCAAGAGCTTGGCGTCAGTCCACAATATTGCAAGCAGCACATTAAAGAATTTTGTCAATATTACGCAGATTTCAAATACGAGTCGCATGTGGTCTGCCCCTACTTTGGACGTCCAAATATAAAAATTAAGAATTTCGAAGACTTGATGCCGGAACGGTATTTTTAAAAGTTTTTTTTTTGTTAATCTCGACATTAAATATATATTTTTTGCAGTTATACCAACTATATTAAAAGTGACAACTCAGCTACAAAAGAATGGGGCTTACAACTGAATGCTCAAATAGTCGTACAGGATCCATTTCAATTGAATCATAATGTTGCAAAGCGTTGTAGCAAATTACATCTTAAAGAATTAATGGACTATTTGAAACAATCCGCCGATTTTCTAGGTGCTTCTAATTAAAAGAACATATTTTTTAATCAAAATTTTATTTCGTACCCAAGAGTTTGTATTCAATTTTTTGTTTGTATTCGTTGAATTCATTTCTATTAACATGACTCGTTAGTTCATGTCAAATAAATATCCTTTTTATACAATTATTAATAAAGTGCCACTTAGTGGCTTAATTATTGGTTTTAAAAACGGCAAAACAGTACAAATATTATGCTTAGATATTAAAAAATAATGCTTTATTATATATACATACATATATGTACATTTACCAAATGTATGTTTATAGTAATAAAACTTTTAAGAATAAAAAAGGTGCTGAAAATCGATTGTTGTTTGTTTTCTTCACTCTGCAATGACTTAGTTCCGATTTGATACATACTCAACACCTAGTTGGAGGTATGTAACAAAATTTTTGGATTCCAGGTGATCTTTATGGTATTCCGAAGGTGAATTCTTCTGTCCAGCGGCATAATTATCGGTATTTTGGTATTAGTGTAACATCGCCCGATATTTGATTTATTTTTGGCCAAGGACTATTGCAATCTTCTTAGGTCCACAAGGTGTGTTACTGTTCACACGATCATCGGCTTTACAGGGTCGGTTCGATAAGTAATTATTCTCAAAATTGTCTTCTTTTAGGACGATACCCTTGACCCAGCAATAATATGAAAAATACTTTTTCTGGAGAAAAAGAAGTCGCACTAGGATCTGAAGAATAAGGTAGCTCATGCTGTAGTTCGTAGACTAATTTGAGCAAATTGGCTGTGGCGATGGCGGAGCTGTAAGCCGTAGATAACTTTTCATGATAGAGTATTTTTTTCTTCATCAAAAGGGATATTCAGCTCAAATCGATCTGATAACTTGTCATAGTAGAGCGCTGTGCCCGTTCCTTGGTCTCTGTATCAGTGGATATTTGTTTCGTCGACGATTCGAAAATTGCGTAGAAGCTTCTTTGAAAGTCTTAGATTTTTACACAGCGTCAAGCGCTGCTGTAAAGTAGCATCCCTTATTATGTTCATCCATACAGGATATTGTTTTTGTTTTGTTCCTTATTAAAGGCATTAGTAATTTCGAATCGTTGAATAAAAAGCTTCCGCGAAGATTTACGGGTCAAATGTAATAAGTTAACCAATAGTCACGCCTACTCATAGAAGCTTGTGCGTATATAGGCGCCTCTGCATGCACATCCAGTCGGTCTCCGCAAATAGCAACAATTACATTTAGAGTGAAATGGGCAAATGTTTAATTGCATTTCAATTAACCAGCGAAGTGATTGCGCACATGTGACTAAAATGAGCCGCCCACCACAATTTGCCATTCAAATAGTAGCCACTATCAATTACCACACAGTAAATGCGTTTGAACATTGTATTTCCATTATTTTTGTATTTTGACATCATAATCCATTTAACATTTGTATATGAAGGCACATATTGCGGCCGTTAAGCAAATAGGACCAAAGCCAATTGTTGCAGCAGAGTCCTTACGTCAATCAAGAAGAACCCCAGAAAGAAAAAGTGAAAAGGGATCTTTGTGTCAGGTTACCTGACCAAACTTTACTCAGCGGAAAACTGTCGGTACTACGATCTTACGGTGGATTATAAATGGAGCTCGCTTTAGCAAGATGTTAGACTTTCTTTGTGTGAGGCGAGAACACAATAGATCAACGTACTTACCTCAATTTATGTCTAATATAGCCTACAGAAAATTTTGCCAACACTTTTGAGGTTAAAAAGGGAAGCTGTCTCATTTCCAAGCATTTCTGTACAATTTCCAACTAAGGTTAATTTTTTAACACCTCTATTTCAATATCTGTCACCTCCTCTTAGTACAAAATCCGATTAATATATATTTTTTTGGCAACGCTTTACGTAACAGGCTCAAAGCGGTGAGTAAAATTATGCAACTTCCTCGACCGACCAAGACGTCATATTGATGGACTAACTACCCTAAAGTCTTGCTTTGGTACTAATTGCATTTTATTTTCGATCATATTTGAAACAAAGCACGTAACTCTAGGGTTTAAACGCCAGAAAAAGAGGATTCCGACCCCCGTTTTCAAATCACGCTAAAGGAGAGTGGACACCGCGGGGACACGCGATCCACCAGCGGAACTCTTAACATCTATACGGACGGATCAAATACGGCTGATGGAGTGGGCGCTGCCGGAATACTGCAGTATTTTCTTTGCGGCCAGCAAAGCTGCTGAGATAGCTAACAGCGCAGGAAATGACATAAAGAATGTTATTATATACATACGTCAATAGCCAAAAGGCAATTAAAAGAATAATCTCACAGCGCATTGCGTCAGAGAATGTCCTTGAAAGCAAGAACGCAGTAGAAAGAGTGAGAGACGGATCACGGTGTGATGGAATACCTTAGGAGCATGCAAAATCGTCAAGATCATGTGTAAGAAAGCGGAATGAAAAAACTAAAGCTTTATACTAAAACGGTGTCGAAAAGACTGCAGGACGGTTGTTGACCCAGACACAGCTCACAAATTACTGGCATCACTTGGGCGCCATATGGGCATTATTAACGATGACACATGTAGCAAGTGCAGGGAAGTAGGCATGAGAGAGAAGCTGGAACACTTTCTTACTTATGTCTGGCCTTATCTATAACTCGGCTTTGATATCTAGGAGCTCAGCAGTTTAAGAGACTGAATAAAGTATCAGAATTATATATCAAGTCTCTATTAAACTTCGCAAAAAGCGTCGACGTCCTGCACGACGTAAACTCCAGCTCGTATTAATAAACCACCATCTGGCTCTACAAAGAACCTGTAGGTCTATGTATGACGTGACAGCCAGTCAGTGTAACCAACCTAACCTAACCTTTATGATTTGGAGGTTAGTTTAATAAAAATGCGAGAGTTATTTTCCGCTTATGATTTGTTATAATATGCGTTACTTCTGTCCGAATTTAGGCCTACTCTTCCTCTAGTTGTATTTTATCGGTGCATATATATAAAGTAAACAAGACTCTTTTTTGTAGGTTTATGCATTTATTTATCGTTTTATATAGTTCTTTATTCGTTCAATAATTTGTTAATAAATAATTAATAAATTTACAATAATTGCACGTTTATAAGGTATGTAGATGTTTAAGCACAGTTACAATTCATTGAGTGTACATATAGGTATGGTATTTACAAGGAATATTTTATGAATGTCTGGTATTCAATCCATTTTTCTCTTCTTATATTCTTAAATTATGCAAAATTGACTTAATAATCGCAAAAAAAGCACACAAATCGATTATTTTCAGTAATCAATAAATCAAAATATTTTATGTATATAATTTTTAAGTTTCTTTCACCAGTTTATTATTACTGCATGTAATTTATATATATATGTATATATTACATATATATTATATATTAATTTATATATTTACTTACTTATATTAATTTACAGAGATTTTATATTTAATATATTTAAAAAAATAAATTTAATATTTTTTTTTTAATTATATTGAATTTATTTAAAGAATGCTCTATGATAAGGTAGTCTTCTAGTCTTTTGCTGGATTGCAAAGCGTTTATTTGAGAGAAAACCCAAGATAAAAGCTTCAATTATAGCATGCTTGAGGATTTGTGCTTGAACAATTCCAGCCCATGATTGTTCAAGCCATTCCCCTCAACAGACTAATAATATTGAAGAAGAAATGATGCTATTAACAAACAATAAATAACGGCGTTTCTGCCAGAAACATAAGCTACAATTCATATAATTATATTTATTTTGCTTTTGTAATTATCTGCAATCTCATTATGAGCCACACAGTGAATAACGCCATTGAACTTGAGCCTCAAATGTTAGTCTGTATGCAAGGTACTCGCAGTTGAAAATTTAGCCTCTTAAATGTATTAGTAAATAGTGTGTTTGTATGTATGTATTTTTGAGTTGTTTGCAAATTTAAATGTTGTCGATAAAAGGAACTTTTATTTAATTTATTGTTATGTATTTTTTTTGCATGAAAACTTTAGTAAAATAAAAATTGCTTTTCGTTATTATGTAGCTCGCTGTATGATGTGTGTCTTAATGCCAGGTAATTCGAGTTTAGTTCTTTAGCGCGTGTAGGTCGTCGACTGCTAAAAAGAGGTAGGAAAAAATGATTAAAATAAAACATTGCTTAGGAGAATATTAACACCGTGAAACAAAATCAGAGAAGTCAATAAGTAAATGCCGTATTCAAGGTCGTTCAAACGTAATACTGGGTATATATTATATAAATGGTAGCCGACGTCCAGATTTGAGCTCTACCCTCTTGCCAAAAAAAAAAACAAATATCACACAAGTGAGTAGAAGGATAGGGTGATATAACTTCGATATTTTACCACGCCATATCGATCTGTGTTTCTATTTAAACCCGCTGTTTGTTCGATCCGTCAGTTTACAGATACTGGCGAATCTAACACAAATACTGTTACTCACGTTGTATGTAAGTAGTTAGCATTTTAATATATTTTGTTTAAACACTCTTCTTATTACACTTGTTAAATCATTTATATCTACATATATGATAAGATAAACCTTGGCATGATATATGAAAAAGTCACCATCACTCACCATCAGTTGTATGCAGTAGGTTGTGGAGCGATGGAGTGATGCATCGAAAGACTCTGAGGAATCCTAAATACCCTTTTTAGGACACCGTGATCCATAAAACATAATTTCTCGCTAAGGTTGTATATGTTTAATCTAAGTTTCAGGGATGATTTTTAGAAATAATAGCGTAGAACGGTCTTGTGTCTAGCCTGTAGTTTCCTTTATTGCATCTACCAGTCGCTATCAAGAACGGCTGACCGATTGTCGATAAGTAAAATTGAGTATATTCGGGATATTTACTTCGAAATTTTAGAGTCTTTGAGTTAATGTTGTTAAAATATTTGCTAAAGATTTGGCATTAATTAAGCTTCTTGTAACGGAAAAGTTCGGAGGGGAAACTTTAGTTTAGACCATTCTTTTATTGGGTAATTGTTTCGAAGTTAAGGTTGGCTTTAGTATTATATGTCATCACAAAAGCCTTTTCGAAATCTTTCACTGATTTTTGAACAGCTTTACAATAACTTCTTGCGTGTTTTGATATATATAAAAAAATGTATGCAGATGACATCTTTGCGCTATTAACCCTGCCAAACCAGGACTAAATCTTGCACTTTAGAGTCGTGTAATCGGTTTAAACTCTTTATGAAAGGAAAAAACACATTTGTTATCGAAAATAACATGACTGAATTTGACGAATAACTGTCAAATTATTATCAGCGAATTTTCAGAGGCCGGTAAGGCGAAAAATAACTTAAATGTATTTTACTGGAGCGTATTCCGTTTGCGAGAAAATGGGATCGATTAGATTGAACGTTGCAAGCATCATTATTGTATTCCAGCAAGTAAGAGTGTTTATTTTCTGAAATGATCCTGGTGTCAGAATCGAAAATCATGATAAATACGGCAAAATCTAGTGCCCGTAATATTTCAAGGGGTAGCTTCTCACACAAAGCATCCTAGAAAGGTTGGTGTTGTTTTACCAGTATGAAGTTTGGATGATAGGAACTTCATCGTATAATAACTAGACTCGCTCAAAGAACAAGGCTTAGGAGAGCCAATTCTGGCTAAATGCGGGCCGTGTTTTTAATCCATTGTTTTTCGAACTAAATTTAGAAGCTTTTGAGATTTATTGAGGATACTATTTACAGACTTTTCGGTCTATTATTTTTGTGCTTGTTCCGACATTGGACGAACCATTAAAAGTGGCAGTCATTTTACTAAATCAATTTTTGCTATTCGCATACAACCGTTATCCTATAATACCTTGTAAAATGAGTTAAGCTTGGTTACAAAAATATTTTTAAATGCATACCGGCTATTTGACAACAACAATTCCAACATTGCAGTACAAGAAAATAAGACGCTAGCGACAATGGGACGAGTGCGATACTCAAACGAATCCATGAAAAAGGTTAAGCGCCACTCATTCAAGACGAGGCTGAAGTGGGCATACTTCAACACTGCCACTCTTATTCAGTTTTCATGCCATCTAACGTATCGCATCTTTTGCGCGGATTCCTATAGGCATATACCGCTAAAGACTGTCTACCCATTTCTAAAGAAATCTGTAGTAAGACCCACAATTACAGCATAGTCTGCGTACTATTTTAAGCTTTCTAACGTTGATGTTGCCGTTATTGTTACTGTATGAGTGTAGTATTTGCTCATTATATGCATAAATCCGGAAGACATTTACACTTTTTTCATCACTTCAACGGGAAGTGTCCTTCACAATAGCACACTGTAACTACATTTGCTTGCAACAGTATGTGCTGTACATACTTGTATACATATGTTCATACATACCTAATTTGTATGTCGTGGGTTCCGTTTCTGCCGGCGTGGCTGCAGCTCGTTTACCGCGCAAACCGTGCAGCGCCAGTAGAGGTATATTGTTGACGTAGTACCCCTGGTGTGTCTCATCGGTAAAAGTGTTGCTGCTGTCATCGTTGGCATCGTTCTTCTTGCCACGCACCGCCACGAATTTGTTGTTGAAATCGACAAAACGTTGAGACTTGCTGCGCCGGTTGCCAGACTGGGAGAAAATATTCAGAATGTTGAAATAAGAAAACTATAGTTATTAAATTATTTAGTCGTAGTAGAATTTTTGAAAAAAAAAATGAATTAATTACCGTTTTTATGTACTTATTGGATCTTAGATTGTATTCTTGACAAAAATATTTAGTCTAAGTCAATTGTAAGCTCAAGTCAAATGCTATATACGCATGGTATGTACTTGGAAGTCCCAAAACTGAATCAGGGTACTTTACAAAAACAAAAGTTCATTAATTTTTTCAAACAGCCGCTTAAAAAGAACGGGAAAAATTGCTTATGGAATGAATTTAGTGGTCGTCATAAATGTCTAACAGCTAACTTTTGACCCTGCAGGCTCTGGAAGTGTAAAACAGCTTCTCGTAATATTTGGTAAGCAGAGAGCCTATGAGGATTATAGTGGAGAAAGGTAAATTAAAAAAAGTAAACAATTGATGTATTTTTCAGGCTCTGAAAAAATGTTAAAACATCATTCAAGCAAGCATTGAGTACACATTCAGATCAGTTTAGTCGGTGTGACGTTCAAGTTTACAAGCTGTGTTTTGAATTTTGAATTTTTTTGAAAAGTAATCTCCTCATATATAATAGCTCTTTCTTCGATTCTGACTTGATCTAAACAATTGTGACAAAACGCTTTTCTTTCATTGGTTTCTTTAGTTTTGGGAATAAAAAAAAGTCGCAGGGAGCCAAGGGACCCGTATGAGCAATCCCAAAATTGAGCAATTTCGGAACAAACTTCACTGCCACACGTTTTTAGGGCTAAAACATTCTTCACTTGTTGACGTGGTCGCACCTCCAGGGTGCTCAACGTCATCAACACTTCTCGGCTTTCTGTAAAGCGCTTATACCACTTATAAAAACTTTTTTGAGACAAAGTGGACTCAACGAATGCCACAGTCAATATTTCAAGTGCCTTGGAGCAATTTATTCCATTTTTGAAGCATGACACATGATAAAAATATGTGTCGATTATAATAAAAACAAATATCGATAATCGAATGTACACAGCCCGCGAAAAATCAAAATTCACCTTTTCCTTTGAACACACCTCGTACTCTATGTAAGAATTTTCATTCGAAAAATAATTTTAAAATTTCAACTCCTTAGAAACTCAGATATGCAAAACTTTGTGACTCGGAAATATACACTATTAACGAAAGCGTATGTTTCTTAGCTTACCTCTAGTGGAGATCTTTTGAACGTCTGATGATTCGTATCCTTCTTGCCACGCACACCCATAAATGCATTGACTGGACCTCGTTTCTCCGCCACGAAGGGATCTGCCAATGTACCATCTTCGTCGTAATAAAAATAGTCCATCACCGATGGTCGCTTACCGCGCATTCCTGTGAAACCGGTTGGTGCACGCTTTGTGACATCATTCTGTGGCATTGCTTGACGATTTATTAATTCTCTGAGGAAATTCTGCATTAACGATTCACGCAAGCGATCTTCTTCTAAACGCCGTATTAACGAATTAACACCATTTACATCGTTGTCATTGTATTTTTTGCCACGAACGCCATAGAATGTACTGGGTGTCTTCTTGAAGCGTGATTCCAAAGCTAATAAATGACCGTAGGCGTCATTCAGTTCATTTTCGTAGGCAACTCGATGTATGGGATCTATGTCCCAATCGGCTGTACCATCGTCATCCATTGCCAAATTGTTGGCATTACTGTAATCGGTATATTCGTACTCCTTTTTACCGCGCATTCCAATAAAGCCGCTCGGTGTACGCTTGACAATGTTCAAGGCACGCAGTGGATTGCTGTGGTGAAACGATTTTAAAACGGAAATTCTATATAATTATTGTGGGTAAAATTTTAAACTCTAAATTATGCTAGTATGAAATATGTATACTCTTGCTATAAGTCCCTGACGAATAGCGACAAAAAACATAAAATTAAGTGGTTAAAAAGAGGCGATTGTTTTATTATGGTTTAAATCGGAAATTGAGCAATGGGCGTGGCACCGCCAAATTCTGCATGTCATTTCATATCTTTAAAAAAAAATTACATTGATAATTTAAATGAAATTTGAAGCTCAACTTTCACATTTCTCTTGCCGAAACCGCATTCATAGAATATAAGGACTGTCCACTTTTTAATTGACTGCGCTATATACATATATCGGTCAGTATTTGAGATTCTTTCATATTAAATAATATAGATAAAATCGGTTTTCATGCACCGAATAGGAATACCTATCAATCTACCGATTGATTTTTTCCTTTATAACGTTCAATCAGTATATCTTAAAAAAAAATAGATAAAAATGTTCCGTTGAATTTATGGTTTTTCAGCGCCAATTCATATTCATTTTAGCCTCCATAGTATGGAATTGATAAAATTGGTCCATATCGTCTCCTAGACCATATACCATATCTGTGTACATCTATTAAACTGAAATAAATATGTATAATAATCGCACACTTTATTGTATACTATGTGGGCTGACAAGTATTCAGTCTATTGAGAGAACTTTGTTTTGAGTGAAAATATGGTTTTGTTTTTGAAGCTTAGAGGCGTTGTTCATATCGGGCCCTTCTCGTTTGAGTGAAATGTTTTTACAGCCAGCCACTTTTTGAGTATGGAAAAGAGTAAATATTCTCTGGGGGGCCAAATCTGACAACTACGGTGTATGGCCGACTTTTACATAGCACAATTCCTTCAAGTTATCGGGGTCGTATCATATGTAAAAATTTGTAAATAATATGTCTTTCTTTTCATTTGTTGATGTTAACTTACTCACTATATTTCATTTTACGTAAACCCAATACAATTTCAAGAGTTTATGCGATGAGTGTGGCCTTCCTAGACGGGGTACATCATTTATGATGGTACGGCTATGACAAAATTGGTCGTTAACTATGTTGGGACAGAAAAACAAAATATTCGATGTAGAGTCTATTTGAGGCCAACAGCTGGAGAGCATTTGGATGAAATTCCACGAAACTTTGACAGTATTCTACTAAGCTTGCTAAGAGAAATATAGAAACTTTTTTGCGCGATCTCACGTTTAAACCAAAAACTGATCATCCCATATAGTATTTTTAGACATCGTTAAGAATTTAATATGTGTCTTCGTCTGAATTTAACCTTTAAAGAAGATTTTGAGGCATATTTTAGTATGTAAAATATAAAGTATAAGTTTGTGTACCGTCAAGCGCTATTGTTGCTTAATTACATATTTCATTCGCAATTCTATTATCTATTGGTTTTTCCAAACAATTTCAACTCAATTAAGTAAACAAATTTGCAGTTCTCCAACTTTCATCACAGTATCACAGCTCATTTGCTTGCTACTCAAGTATTTCCGTTATTGTTTTTGTTACAAGTACTTACCCAACAACACTAAATGACAAATTATGTTTGTCCTTATTATCAGCCGCATTGAGGTTAGCATTGTCGTTGTTAGAGGCCAACGGTTGAAGCGTAGTAGTGCTGTCGGCCGCCGCTGAAACATCACGTCTCGTCCGCTTGTTTTCGTCCTTTTAACGGTTGAGTAATTGAGCCACATACAAAGAAAGGGTAGAAATGATTTTTGAAATTTCGAGATGTAAGTGTGTCAAATTAGAGAATGTTATTAGATGCACATATATTAATATAGATACATATGAAGACCAAAATATATACTTGTATACATATATATATATATATATATAGACATGTACCATATCTATAATAATTATATTTATATATAATAAATTTTCCAGAAGTTTTGGTGCTTCACATACAAACACGCTTTCAAAAACACAATAGCGTCTCAGCGGGATTCCTATTCATTTCCTAATAGTAATTTTAGCCAACTACCAAATTGACTTTATTCTCATTCGTGATTTTGTTTTTGTTTTATGTTTAAATTTTACGCAAAACTTCTTGACTTGTGTCTTTTGTTTGTTGTGTAAACTTACCGTCGGGTAATTATGACCCTCATGCGTCGTCACATTGCTTCCGGTACCATTTGTTGCTGCTACGGCATTGCAAAGTAGAAATAAAAGCAACAACTTACAAATACACACAGTGAGACATTTCAGTTTTTGCACGGCCATTTAAAGTTTTACGTAACACAAGTGGAGTGTGGTCCAAATTTTGATGGGATGAGTGGAGAAAGCTGCAAAAAAAAAATAGATACATTATATAGATGTATGTGGTGCATGTAAACCTTGTCATATAATTAGAACAGTATTTTTGAACAAATACTAGAAAGAAATGTTTCCAATATCTACCATACCACATTTGTGGACTTGCCAATGTTTCGATTTTGCCCATATACAAGGCAGACAACCTCGGCGTATCAAGGAACAAGTGTATTCTTCTCGTAAAAATATCTCAATTTTTACTTAAATTAACTAGCAGATGTCTTGAGGGACGGACATATAGATATTCAGTTTACTTCGTCTACTGATAATTTTGAATATTTTTTATTTATTTTGTAATCCCAAATACGAGATTAAAAAAATAAAAAAAATTTTAATCCCGCATACCGAATTAAAAAAAAAACGAAATTCAATCCCACTTACCGGATTAAAACAAAAATGAAATTAATCCCAAAAAGCCGATTAAATATTTATTTTTAATTTTTAATCCCAACTATCAGATTGAAAAATAAAGAAGTAACATTTAGATCTGAAACATATAATTAAGAATTAAAAAAAAAGAATTTACTGTAGAATTAAAAATGTTTCGTATTCATTCAAACCGAAAAAATAATAATAATTCAATCCCAAACATCTTGGATTAAAAAATTAAAATCTAATTTTTAATACAAAAATTTTAAATTAAAAAATTCCCGCATGATCGTAACGGCCTAGCTATAATGTTTGAGGCCATCTCACACTGGAACGATTTTGACATCTCTTTATCCCTGTTCAAAGGGATTACGGGGAACATTCTGTGTAGATACAACTACCAACACAATTTTCGAGACGAAATAGTTCGATTATTTTTTTCTAGTATGCTGGGAGCTTTAAGGTGAAATTTCACCTACATATCTAACTAATATATTAATTCCAAAATTGTTCCTGTTTATTATCGCTTCATAGTGCAATTAAATTTCAATAAACAAGGTGTGAATTGGTTGCAATAGTCGTACTTTTAGCGAAATATGACGCATAGTTAGTGGAAAAGCGAATGTTTGAAAATAATTTAAATATTTATTATTATTATAAACTAACAATCACATAAAATGCGCGGTCGCTGGCAGGTGTCACCGAGCTTATAATTAGTCCAGATTAGCCGCAAATGTTACACAAAGGGGGATAGTTGGCATTTTTTAGAGCTTAGTTTCCAAAGCTAAGTATGTGTGTATATATTTGACGAGCATTTTGAAAGATAAGGTGGTGTTTAGTAGGCACCTTCCCGTCGAGTTCGTGTTTTGTTTTTATTTTATGGCTGGTTTTACCAAACAAAGAAACGCCTTATCCTTCAAATTTAATGCGAAGCATTTTTGTATCAGAAATTCTTTGGCAGCATTGAGATTATTTACTGAGGGACGTCGCTATATTTCAGGAAATTGTTTGAAGAGTTTGATTAAAGCAACTTTCGCTGAACTTAGTTAAAGAAGTCCCGTTATGTGCTTATTTCGAAAGTAGAGTACTTGAATCACATTAAATAGTTTTTTGTTAGAATAAAGATTAAGTTTGCAGTTCAAAAAATTTTATATCCGTTATGGAACCTCAACTCATAAGCGAGTTCAGCTACTCAAGATCTCACGTTACATGAAATTAACAGAGACTACAACTCCTTCCTATTATTGCTCCTTACTTAGAACACAAAAAAATTTTGCGTATCCAAATTTTGTTATTGGTGCCTATTTGAATAAGAAAACCTTCTAGGGAATCGTCAAGAAGGCAGTTCTAAATCTGTGAGTAAAGAAGTTGATAGAAAATATTCTTATACAAATAATAAAATAATGATACTTTGGAAGCCTTGGGAACAATTGGATACATGGTATAAACCGCCCTTTTAAATTTTCAAACATAAAATCTGTCGTTTGGCTATTATCAACGCTTGTCGTCAAAGAGTTTATTAAGTTAGCTCAGAACTACGTGAGAGATATAATTAACAGTTCTCATTATAAAAGAGGGAATTCTGATACTATCCAACTTCTGTAACCATTTTTTTTTTTAATTGTAAACTTCACAATTGCTTAAATATGAATACATATTCCTTCTTACAAGTATATACATATTTGTAACAATGTATACATGAATAAGCATTAAAAAGTATTCCTCCTTCATACCAAAACTTGATAGGTACCCTCATTTTTTGCGTTGGAGTCTAATAGAATATTTATGCCTTGCCTTGGGCCAATAATGTGTTAACATAACAAATATATTGACCTTTCACACAGCCATTTACATATGTAAGCACTTTTATTTTACTCATACATATATATATAATACATACATATGTACATGTTTATACATTGATTTAACCACAGCGCGATGGAAGATTGTGGGCAATGAGGTTTTGGTGCCTTCCTATCGAACTCTTGGAGCGGAGTTGAGCAAAAGGAATATGGTTTCGGGTGCATACACAATGAAGTGTAACGGAAAGCGGGCAGACTGCGTTTTAAAATAACGATATTTTTCTGTCATAAAGTGTGTTTGTATATTTTATGCGCAGAAATAATAATAATATGCTAATGAAGACATTTCTTCTTAAATTTAATAAACTTGCACGTTTACGAGATGACTAAAGATCAGCAAAACTTTAGGATAATTGATAAAAGTTCTTTTAAAATACCATATTATTTTTATTTAAAAAAAATATAAATAACAATTTAATAATTAATTTAAAAAATATCGATTATTTTTGGCTTAAATTACACCTTGCGATTTCATAAAAATGTTTCGAATGATAGAATTGTGAAAAAATGTTTTTCTGTCTAATCCGCTATAATGTCGAAGCTGTTAGTTCAGTCAGCTTCTGCACGCAAAGTTTTAAACTGGCTTTTTTCGTTACAGCATTTTTCAAAGCCGGCAACAAGTAAGGATTGGCTAAGTTCGGGTGTAACCCAACATTTTATACACCTGCAGCATACAAGGATACCTCAAAGGCGCTATTTGAGAAAAATTTTATACGAATATATTCATTGGTGCTTGATTTGTGTACTAGAAAGAATCAAGAGAATTTAATATCTCTTGCGCGTTTAGATATCGATTTATTGCGTTTTTAACAAAACCTTTACAATCCGATTTCATGCAGTTTCGCACTGTCGGTAGTGGTTCTTATAGGATTTGTCCTAAGCGAATTTGCTTATTGTAGCTTTAGTGGCTTAGGAGATTTGTATTTACCATTTTTAAACATTTTTTCTTCACAGGTGCCCCTTGCTACTGCAATCCGCTATACTAAATAACAGATTTATATCTTAATTTAGTGCTTAGTTGTGACATTTTTGTTGACGGACGTACAGACAGACAGTCATTCGGAATTCGATCGTTTCGTCATTCTCATCATTTATATATACATAACCCTATTTCTAACTCGGTTATTTTTAGATGATAGAAACAACCATTAGGTGAACAAAACTCTGTAGCAACATGTTGCAAGAGTATAAAAACGTTTTTATTTATTTAAACCCTTTTTTCTTACTCCAAGAATACGTGGCTGCATTATTTCTTAATAGGATAACAATTTGTATATGAAGTCTCACGAAAAAGTCTTCATTTTTTGTGTTGATAAAATTGAGTCCACAAAGCATATTTGCGTTATTTTTAGAAAGAAATGGCTTTGACAGCTCCTACAGCTCTCTCTATTTGTGTTACCGCATTTACACTTCGCACGAGTGCCGAATGAAGATACTTGTACGAATCAACGACCCATTGAATGGCTTCCATAATAATACATACATATATATACCTATATACTTGACACAAACAACTACCAAACCTAATCGGTCAGATTATCTAATTAGTTTGCACAGTTTCAATCCCAGAAACCATAAAATCAGCAATTCACATGCAACCTACCTCAGATTATACGAACAGGACCATCTGTTAAATTACCCCAGGTGAACTTATTGCACATTTATTGAAAACCGCTTAGTTAGCTAGAAGTATAACTACAATATGTTGATATTACAACAATAGCAACAACTTAAAAGTTTGCTTCAAACGCAGTATTCTAACTTAAAGGAAAACTAAGTGCTCTATCCTAATCATACAAATGTCACTTATTTTCATCATATGCTAAGTCATCTCATTTGAAAGTAAGATATTCCTTATCATTGTATAAAAAAAATCTGATTGTATGAATGGCGTCATAGTTAATAATTTTATTGACTCAATAAATATGTGTGTAAATATACTCGGAAATGTATACAGCCTGTGGGTATTTGTGTTTGTATGGGCAACTCTAGTTAGGTGTTTATATGTATTGGTGCAATGCCATTTGCTCTTCAGACATACCTACATTTAACCTCTGTTTTTGTTACTCAAAACGTCGAGTCGATTGTGTATAAACGGTGGTCCATATAGTTGTGATTTTTCTAATTGTATATTACATGTGAATTGGAAACAAGAACTTGGTGTGAAGAAGATGGTCCTCCATGTCAAGTAGGCTAATTCGAAATCGGTCATATGCGTGCCAAATTAGGTAATAGTTTTAGCAGCTGATTTGGCGATATGAACACATCTGTGATTTAAGGCCAAACGCTTTAGTGTGTAATCAAGAAGAATTCAGTTCCTTAAAGGCGACAAGAAATTCGTAAGAAAGTGTCAAAAACCATTCCCAAGGTTTTATAAAACTGATCGAATTTGCTATCTGGATTGAATTAGATTTTATCCAGAGAATAACGGCAATATTTACCTTTGTGAATTAACCAAAAATATAACCAAATAAAATTATTTAATTTTTTTTATAAACCAAACGAAAAGTAAATTTAAAATATATATTTGATTTCTAGGAATCAACAACTAAATGTAGCGCCCTGTAACTAAGAGAGATTGTATTGCATTTGAAATTCTCGCTTTTTAAGTGTATTAGTGGTGAACGCCTGCAGTAACGGAAATCAAATCAAGTCAATTTGATCAATCACTGCTATGTCCAAACAGCAGTATGGTTGCGAAAAATCACATGACTACAGGCGACAGAAAAAAGCTTTCCACA